GCTCCTTATTTTTATTTGGATTTTTACCCTTAAAAATATTTTCAAGTGTGTACACAAACCAAAATGCTCAATATCACTTTGGTGATTCCTACTAACTATATGCAAATGCAACCCTAAGAAAATAAAAACAACCACAAGTGGATGCCTTAAGCAATTATTTCTAATACATTTTTAATTAGGTTTAAAGAAATAAATGTGAGAAAGAGAGCTCTTATTTAAATTATTACCCATTTTACTAGTTGTTGAAGTTAATGGTGGGTTTTATTGCGGGCAACAAGAGAAAGTTTTTTAGTTACCTAATTGTTGCTAATTGTGAGAATCCTAACTAGAGAGTGAAATTAAAAAACACAAGAAAGAGAGCTCGTATTTACAAGGGGGTAGCCCCTCTAGGAACTATTATGTGCAACTCTTCTTCTTTAATCTTCAATCCTCTTCTAGCTAAGTCCTTCACAATGAACACAAAAATCAAAAAACCAAAATAGAAAAATTCCTAAATACAAGCACCTTCCCCTAGCAATAACACAAAAAACTTATTGTGTTCTAATTATAAATATTATAAGTGTACAACTTATGTGCGTGTAACATGCAAGTGTCAATCCCATAAGAAAGATGTTGTCGATCCCATAAGAAAGGTGTTGTCTAAGAAGGATCCTAGAGTGGTTCTTGAATTATGATAGAAAAGATAGAATAAAGTTTAGTTTGGGTGTTGATTTCAAGCAAATAAAAGGGCTAAAACAAGAAGGAGAGTAAAACCAAGAGAGTAAAGTAAATAAAAGAGTTAAAAATCTAGTTATAAAACTAGGAATCTAGAACTGAATCCACTAGTTAGTTCCTATGTATTTAGAATTACTGTCTTTTAATTCTCATATCACTAGCTTTCGTAACATAGATTATCAAGTTATTTAAAACATGCATAACTGATCAAATTCATATCCAAGTAATATCACCATTCATGAATAAAAATAAACAACTAGATAGTAATTCTAGAATTGAAAAAGCATAAACCATCAAATCATTTAAGATAAGTAAAGCATATCAAAGTCTTTTCCTACCAATTAATATTCTAATTGATTATTCTAAGGATGATCAATTAAGTACAAAAAGAGAACAATTTAAAAACCAAATAGAAATTAACTAGCTTCATCTTTTTAGATATCCTAAGAAAATTAGCTATTCATATTACTCCTAGAAAGCAAGAATAAAAAGCAAGAAAATCCTAAATTACAAAGCACAAAATCCTAGCATTAATTCTAAGCAAAAAAATAAAACTTAAACATACATTTCTAAACAAGAAAGAAAAAAAGAAAAAGAAAAACTCACATCGCAAGGGGTTGACCCCTTGTGTAGACCCAAATTTATTTAAGTCTCCATAAGAAAAATAAAGATAAAAAAGAGGGAAAGGACTTGTATTTTTATTACAAAACTAAAGTGTTATAATATTTGGAAGGCCTTCTCAAAAGAGTAGTTCTCCTCTCCAAAATGGAGTTTATAAAAATTTTCACATCTCTTACTGTCACTCTCTACCCCTACTTATAACAATAATTAATATCAGTTCTTGGATCAAACTTGAGCTCTAAGAAATCAAAATCAAGTCATTCATTGCATTCTTTTGAAAACTAATCGATTAGCTAATTGATTAGTTCATCAACAAGAATACCCAGAAGCAGTGACTCTGGATTTTAGGATATTTACAAATTTACCACTGGTTCACTAAAATAACCATATATTGAGTTCTACAACTCCGATTTGATTAAACTTGATTCGTTGGATTCGTAATTGAAAGGTAGTTAATATTATATGATTCTAAGCTGAATCAAACAAAATTATCTTACACGTTTTCACTTGAAACACATTATAGCACCTCCAACGATGAGCTATTGTGGTAATTTTTGTTCTAATTTTTCTTGCGTTTTCTCTGGCCATTGAGCTTCAATTGGATGTAAGATATCTTCATTTGAGCTATTTTTTTATTCAGTCCTTTTTTTCCTTGAAAATGCATTTAAAACACTTAATAACAAATAGAATTATTCAAAAATCATGGGAAATGAGGTATAAAAATGCAATAAAATTGTTAGTCATTAATGCACAACATTTTCATGTACAACAAGTTAAGAGAAAGTAATCTGCTAGATTTAATTTCAAAATCTATACTATCAAGGAAGTGGTACGTTGCATAGAATCTATACTATCGAGGTTCTGATGTAATGTTTTTTTTGCATCATTATTATTCAATTAGTGATGACCACTAGAACTTGTGTGTTCGAATGTTCCTTATCAGTTTTGCTTCTCTTTTTTATCGAGTTATTTTCTTATAGTTCTTTACGAGTGTTTTTCTCATCTTGAATATATGCATCTCTTTTCATTACTTGGTATCTCCTCATTTGTTATCAATGTTCAATCTCTGAGAGTATATATTCCATGGAATATACTTTGTTATCTGTATTCGTTTCTTTTCTCTCTTCATGCTTGATGTGGGTCGCTTGTCTAACAATCATTAGTCTTGTTTCTTCCTTTCTTCCTCCAGATTGTAGGAGTAATTAGTTGTGGATCAGATTATGTCGTTCTGTATTATTTTACCATCATGGAATTAATAAGTGGTTATTTACAGTTTTACCCTTTATATTATATATTTCTTAGTTGGACTTCCCCCTTGTTATGTCATATATAGATACTTTACTATGTGTGGCTGCAGTTTTACCTAGAGTTGATTTTTATTAGTGGACCCACCTTAGATGTTTGTTCCTTGTTTTATCATTGTTTTTACAGTAGATTAGATAAATGTGTCATGCGCGTAAGAGCAAGTACAGCAATCTCCTAGTAGGAAGCTCTTGTTGGAGTGCTCTCAAGCATGGGGCCCACTTAGGAGCTTCCTACTAGGAGAAATATTCCAACAAACTCCCAATTAGAAACTTAAATATTATTTAAAAAATCCATTCTTCTACCTCTAACATTTTATAAATATATTTTAAAACAATAAATCTAATAAAAAAATATTTCTTAATGAGCCCCCACTCCTTAGGAGCTCCCAAGTGCTCCACAAATCTGTGGAGCTCTTAGGAGCTCTATGATGAACCCCACCGCCAACTAGAACTTAAGAGCCTCCTTAGAGCAAAGGCAGCAAGCTCTCTTCAGAGCTCTCAAGGCTGACGTGGCCGTGGAAAACTTCTTCCCCCCCTCCAGCAAGCTCCCAAACCCTCCCAAGCCCCACTCTCAAGGCTGACGTGCCTCTTGAGAGCTTCCGAGCTCCCAAGCGCTCCACAAATTTGTGGAGCGCTTGGGAGCTCCCAACTGGTCGGAATTTAACAAAAACCCCCCTCAAAAAGTACACCTTCGCAGATCTGCCCAAAATTGAAGCAAAAATCAAAAATAAAGGAAATCACTGACCTTAACGAAATCGTATTTGGAGGAGGCGTTTCGGCTGGAGGATCGTTGGATTGAAGAGGAGGAAGAGGAGGAGGAAGAATCGGCCTTTTTCTTGTTCTCGTCGGATTCCTTGCCTTTGTCCGCGTGATCGCTGACGATGATTTCACTGCCGGTGATCGCCGTCATCGCAGCATAGGTTAGGTTCGGTGATTGAGTTGGGATGATGAAGAATTCCGGATTCGCAACGAAAAATTTCGAGGTTTCTGGAGATTTAATCGGCAAAATTTTGGGTTTTTTTCCCTGAGTTCTCGCTAACGATGATTTCACTTGCTCTTAAGAGCTTGTTAGAACATGTTAGGAACTTATCCTTACCCCATCATCCTTAGGAGCCTTCTTAGGAGACTACTGACCTTGCTCTAAGGACTCCCTTGACTCGATTCTCATATGGCGAGAACATCTCCGTCCGTCCTAGACGCATTATGTGTGGACCCCATCGAGGGCGTAAGGTTGACGCGAATAATATAGGCTAAAGGCATAACATTTTCCCGTACGAAAAGAAAAGAATAATATTTTCCCTTTAATAATTGCGCTCGTCGCCCTGAAGTCCTAAAGAGCAAATAAAGAAGGGTGAAATTATTAAAAAAAAAAAAACACATGCGAGTCTTCTTTACAGCAAAGCTTTAAATAACACAAACCATCGATCCGAGCCCCGACGGCTTCTCTCCTCTCTCATTAAAAAGGATAAAACCCTACCTCGTCGCTCATTAAAAAAAAAACCTAGTTTTCTACGATCCAACAATCGATTGGATGGCGAATAGCAATCTACCTCGGAGAATCATCAAGGTCCGTATCTCGATCGGATCTGTGTTTACTTGATCATCTCCATTTCTAGGGTTTTAACTTTTTTTTGGGGGGATTCTTGGTTCGTTTGTTGTTTGAACAGGAAACGCAGCGCCTGCTCAGCGAGCCAGGTAACGATTCAGCTGAATCTTTCGGTCGACTAAGAATTTTGTTTTTTTTATGTTGTAGGGTTTTGGGGATTTTGGGGATTTTAGGGTTTTGATTTTTGGATGTTGTTGCCTTTTGAAGCTCCTGGTATTAGTGCGTCCCCATCTGAGGAGAACATGCGCTACTTCAATGTTATGATCCTTGGTCCCACGCAGTCTCCATACGAAGGTATTCAGCTAATGACGCCTATAATTGCTAATGTTTCTTTGTTCGGTTTGAAATGTGTCTCCTCCTTTTGTTTGTTGGGTGATTCGATTGGTTGGTGATTTTTCTTGTCATTTTTCTGATAACTTGTGCTGTTTGAAATTGCTCATCATTCATTGAATCATATATACTACGCTGTTTGCTCAAGAAATCACTTTTTTGACTTGGTGGACACCAATTTTTTGATGATTATGGGTACTTATTTGAATGCTAACAGACAATTTTTAGACACATATTATACATAAGCCTCCAAATTCCATGGGCCTTCTTAAACAAATGTAATCTATGATTTATATTACACAATACCAAGTTAAGGAATCAAAGTAGAGATTTTTGATGTTTGTTAACAATATCCTTACGGTGCATTCTTGAATCAAGTAGAGCATAGTTCTGATAATTGTTGATTATTTAATGAGAAATGTTCTTGGACAGTCTTGAGGTGAAACCACTTATTTGTCAAGGAAGTGACTCGATGCATATATAGGCACCATAACTCTTCTTCTCCATATCTCAAAAGGGAAAAGACAACCAAATTGCTAGTATCGTAGAATGGCTATTACGAGGATATTGCTAGCCTTATTTTTGCCCCAAGGTTTTTGTTTCATATCTAGAATGTTAAATAATTCTTTTACCCGGGATCTAAAAATGCCAATCAGTTAAGAGGGTGCTATATAGTTAAAGTTCAATTATGCAATCCTGATTGGAGATCCTACTCATCTTAACCGAGTTCCTATTTGCACAACAGTAGGTAGATTCTTCTGTTAGTGTTTGAATGACAGTCTGAGGAACAGGTTAAGCTTGTTGTTATACACCTGTATTATTCTACTACGACTTCACTCTCCTAGAGCAATATGCACGTTACAAGAGGTAATTTTCCTTTCCATCTCTTCATTGAGGATGTACAACAGAGATTTACCATATGATAGGCTAGATTTGTATCTGATCATAGAGATTAGCTACTTGCATCTCTCACTAGAAAGAATCAGATATGTTTGCAGTACTTTTAGATCCAACCTTGACGCCATGTTCAGTGCTAACCATCTGACCAAGTTTGTTAGATGACTAAAAGAGCTGTTTTTTCTTGATCAATTATAATTTGTCTCCTTGAGATAAAATTCTGATACTGGTGAGATCATTGCATGTGGACTCTATAGAATTATGGTAATACCTGCCTGGAAAGGGAAGGTGTCTTCTGATTGAGTTGCAGACTTCAAAATCTTTGTATCTCTATATAGCAGTATGATAGTTGGTGAGGTAAAACTACAGAAGAAGCCTTTATTATCTGGAAGTTACACTTCTATATCTGCAATGTGAATCTAAGAGTAGTATCTGCATAAGCAGAAGATACTAGGGTTACCATGTTCCCGCCCAGTAAGCTAATAAAACTTCCATATTTTGCATCTGACTCCTTTGAGATGATTTTATTTTATTTTTCAAATAAAAAGGTTATAGTTGAGATGTCTAGCCTTCTAAAATAGAGGTCTTTTGTTGTGGAACTTTACTGCTGCATAAAATAAAAAGTGACAAAGCTGACTATGTGTACAAAGCTCACTAAAGATCTTCCATTGACTACTATGTTAGATCAGTGATGACCAATGACAATCACCACTGATTTTTCTTCATTTTCCTTTGTTCAGCATTGATTGCTCTATGTTTTGAAACCATTCTTTCAAAATATTCTTGTCCACAAGTATCATGTTGAGTTTTTGTCCTGGATTTGGAGCCACAATGTAAGGTAATACTCACATTATTAAAAAGGTGGAAAAGGTTTACTTATTATTATCATTAAAAGTTTTCACACTATGGACCCAGAATGAACCTGGACTACGCAATGGAAAAAATTTTACTACTGAAAAGGCTTAGTACGTCGCAAATATATACACTTATAGATGCATTCATTTGATGACAAGGCTTTGTTTATGGCTTGATCCAATTATAGGGTAACACCCAACTTATAACATATATCCACGCCCAGATGGCTTGCTTAAGAAGACCTTGAGTGTAAACTATTTTCACAAAGAGGCCTAGATTCTTTGGACCACTTAAGCGGCCACAGATACTTCCAAGTTATAGTTGCATGGAACCCGGTTTGTTCTGGTTCAGGAAACGAAAACGGGAGCGTGGTACCCCGCTTATTTGGAATCGGGTACGAGGGGGTAGGCTTACAAGGTACGCTAGGGAACATGATATGGTTTATGTTGGGTTTTTAAATATAGAATCGTGGTACACTTTTTGTTGTTTATATTCCTGAAAATGTTTGTTTTCTTTCAAATATTAGCTAATATGAATTTTAAATATGGTTGCCTAAGTTGGCGAACTGGATCCCATAGGGACATGACCCAGTTTGCTAGCGTACCACGTTCTGGGATGATTGAACCCGGGTCGTGGTTTGCTATAGTGTCTCACGTTCCCAACATCTATGCATCAAGTCTCTAGTAAGGGCCTTTGACTCCGCCCAAGTAGCCTCATAAAACCTGCAATTGCAGCCAAGGACGTCTTTTACGACTGAAATTGCTTAGGTGATTTTTCTGTGTATCGTTCCTTGCTATTAGCTCTTTTTATCATGTCAGCTATTATCATGTGTACCTACACTGCCATTTTATCTGATTCCTATTGATGGTCTTTTGACATAATGTATACTGTTTGTTTTTAGGTGGAGATTGCCATATTTTTATCTCCTGTATTTTATAACTATGTACATGGAAGAAAGTGCATCTGATTAATATTACTTTGTCAAATGTGTACTAAAATGGAATCCGTAATAATATAGCTAGATTTAATTAAGAGGAGACAATACTAGTTGTAACATATTACATTTTGTATGGTTGAGAGTCTGATATTCTTTTATAGTTAAATGCCTACTAATAGGGCATACTCTTTTTTCGGTTTGTCTTACTATCAGGAGGTGTTTTCAAGCTTGAGTTGTTTTTGCCTGAAGAGTATCCAATGGCCGCCCCAAAGGTGAGAGAGCTGGGAAACACACATGTTTTTTATTATGTTTATTAGGCTATTAGCTGGTATAAACTATCGCGGTGATTACTTTTATAAATTAAGGTTGTCTCTTGCTTTCAAAGGAACCTTGCTCTATACAAAAAGAACTAAAAGCGTGTGCTGTTGCACTGATAGCCTCTCTATCGCTATGTGAGATTAAAATAAGCTGCCTTTTGACACTAAAACTGGGAAATATTTGCTTGTTTCACATACAATTAACTAAAGCAAACTTGGCCTCTGATCTCACTTATTGCGCATACTGAATCTAGCAAGATGCAACTATGATCATCTCTCATGCATGCAGTAAAGTTTTGATGGTTTCCAACACATGGAAGCCAGTTATACTATTTGAAAAATCTTCCTCAACCTGCATGCCCTCCTTAGTTCTTAGCAACAATGATCACAAGCCTTTCGGCTGAACACAAAGCTCTGCGAATGGTTCGGAAAATCATTGTTATTGACTGTCAATCTTTAATCTTATATCAACCCTAATATTCGTTCCAAATTATTTGCCAGTTGAAAACAATGAACAAGAGAGTGGCTTACAACAAATTGTGGAGAAGATAGGTCAGCTTATAAGATGACATACTACCCAAGAGCAACATCTAAAAATTTTCAGAACTTACAAAGGTTCTAGAAGAAAGAGGAAGATGATAGGTTGGAGAATAGCCATCAACTCTTAAGTCATAGATAAATGCTAAAGAGCCAAAAAGGAAACTATACCAAACTACTTTTGAATTCCTGTTTAGTAGTATGTTTGATATTACTGGGCGATGCCTTGTTCTTTGTAGAATCTACCGTGTTACCTTGGTCAGTGGCATTTTCATTATCTTTTCTTATGGATGGATTTGAAGTCAGAAGTTTGTATGCTAGCCCTTGTGGTTTTAACATATTTATTTTGGAGTACTGGACGAAATTTCTTTTATATTTGTTCTCTGCAAGCCTTTTGACCATTACTTGCCTAAAAGTTGTCACTGTTATTTGGTGAATGATTATAGCTGAATTTGCAATATTAGCAAATATTTTCAAGGTCCTGGTGACTAATTAGAAAAACAAAAAGACAAGGGGGTGTTGAGAGGTTACATGCCTGAGAATTGTGAAGACTTCTCCCTTTGTGATTACGCTGAAAATGCAAAGGTCTATTATATCCTTATGTCTGTGACTTTGTCGTAATAAACCAAGAAACCTGTCAAGTTACGATATTTGTTTTTAAATACGTGTCTTGCCTTTCTCCAGTGTGCATTGTATTTGAATTGCCTTTTTCATTCTTTGAATGCTTACTTAAACAGGTTCGATTCCTCACCAAAATATACCATCCTAACATTGACAAGGCAAGCATTTTTTTTATCCTTCTCAGTCTATGGCCCATAAAGAATCATTCTTCCCTAAATATAAGTTTTACTGCATGCAGCTTGGAAGAATATGCCTTGATATTCTGAAAGACAAGTGGAGTCCAGCTTTGCAGATCCGAACAGTATTGCTAAGGTGATAAATCTATTCTACTTATTATATTTTTTGTGTGTATTGCAAAAAAAAGTATACTTTAGTTTAGCCTAACTTGCATAAATGCGATGTGAACCTGCAACCAATATTGTACAAGAAGTTGTTTGCTTGTTTTTAAAGATGGGTATACCATTCATGTTAGAAATGAGAGACATGAGGCTTATTCATCTTGTTGGTAAATGATTCTTGGCACTGGATTATGGCTGCTGATTTTTATGACATTCTTATTTAGTTCCAAATGCATAACCGGCATCTTTTCAGTAAGTTTCCAAGGTGAAGTTGGGAGATTTTTCATATCTATCTATCTACCTATTAGCAGTTCAGTGAATACGTAATGGTATTGTGCTCCTCATGTTGTCATCTTGTTAGTAAATAATCCTTTGGCACTGGATTATGGCTGTCGGTTTTATGACATTATTATTTATTTCCAAATTCTCAATGAGTTTCGCAGGTGAACTTGGGAAATTTTCATATCTATTTATTTGATTTATGATTTCTGAGTAGGGGTGGAATGAACCAAATAATTAATAAATAGTTCATCAATTTTTCGTCTAAAGTATTCATTTATATTCGATTTGATTATTCATTTAAAAGTTTAAACAAAGGTACATTCGATTCATTTGTTTATTAACTATTCGTTTATATTTTTACGCTTTATTTTATATATTTATTTTATTTCACACTATAGTCATTTCAAACTTTTATTAATCTATACCCATTACCCCCTATAATAGACACCATTTACAAACTGAGTCCATTTCAAACTTTTATTGACACATACCCCCTTATAATCACTGTTATAAATAGCGGTAAATAGCTCCGCAATAGCGGCGCTAATAGCGTTAGCGGTCCCTTCCCGCGACGCTATCACCCGCTACGCTATCGCGCAATAGCGGTGACATATTACGGAATATGTTTGTTTGCAATAGCGATCAATAGTGTGTCATAACGGTAAATAGTGAGCGATTGCATTCGAAATTTGCTTTTTGACTGCTATTTAAAAGCGGTTTGAGGCTTATTTTTTAAAATTAAACTTAACCATTGACCATTGCATTCCACCGTCTCCATAGTGATTTTTAGCATACTCCCGCCACCTTTCATAGCCTCTGGTACCTACCTTGATACTTCCTCTTACCTCCTTCATCGTGAGCTCCTCTTAGGGCAGTCCTGTAACCGCTAATCTCTTCTTCTCGAAGACGATTTTTTGACTCCTCCAGTCATCTTCGGTATTACGTGATGGTTACATGTCTATTTCATGTTTAGGATCTCTTTAATCATCCAATATGTACTTCTAGATTTCTTAGATTTTTCTTTAATTTTTTTAGTATTTATACATATCTAAATTAGACCGCTATTTGACTTTGCGCTTTTTATCGCTATTTTGCCGCAATAGCCTTAGCGATACCTCACCGCTACGCGACGCTATCCGCTATTGATAACCTTGCTTATAATAAACACTAATAACAAACCAATAAACTATATCCACTTCAAATTTTTATTACACAAATAGTTGTACCACCCTATATATAAGTATCCATCATCCTGATAGATGACCCTATCTAACTAGGGTTTCTCGCTTTTTTCTGCCTAGTGGTGGTGCTACTTTTGGAGATCACTCGTAGTGGTAGATCTCTTGCAGATCTCTCACGAGATCTGCTCTCGTCTGATGTTCTCTCGCCCTCTCCACTAAAAGTGATATCCCGTCGCTCACTCTCCACTCGCTTCGACGAGAGCGTCAAGTTCAACCCTCCAAGTCAACTTTCTAGGTGTTGGTCTGTAATCCCGAGCTCTAGAACATTGTTGATTGAAAATTCTAGAATAATTAGCGAGTATTCACAATACTATTTGAATCAAATTTGAATATTATTTTGACATTTGCTTCAAATATGAATTCAAACAATAAATTTCTGATCGAACTCGAATTCGAATAGCTTAGTAGTCGATTTGATTTGTTTCCGCCCTTACAACATTCATGAATATGTAACGGCATTGTGCTTTGCTTTTTCTTTATTTTTTTTAAAGAATGGTTCTTATTCCCCATAAATCAACAACACCATCCAAAATCATGATCCCCTTTTGTACCACCATAAGGTCTCATGGTTTGAGCCGATTGAAAGACACAAAATTGCAACTTTTCACTGACCGTAGAGTGATAAACCAATTCTCTTAAAGCTATTGCCTTATTCTTATGGAATAAGGAAGTTTGTAGGAGACTACATATTGGATAGTCTGAACTTGTGCACCTGGAGTGTGTTTCCAAAAATCAACTTGAGCATGGTAAACTAGATAAAGTTTAAACAGAGATGGTATTATACAGGTGATTTCTGTCCTTGAAGTTACAGCTCATACATTAGTGGTCCGTCTTTCAATCTGAATCTTGTTTGGGGTTTTTGCCTTGAAACCCATAGCTTTACCCCATTTAGTTATGGATCCACTTAGTTTTATCTATATTTATACACCCAAAAAACTTTCTCTTCTTGTCTTTAAACCCAAAACCTGAAATACATACTATATGTATACTGTATTTACAAAAAGAAAACCAAAACCCCAGAGTACCCTTATCTTCCTCCTCTCTTTACACATAACCCATTACGTTCTTTTTCACTCATTCCATTCCAGCCTCTTTCATTTGTTCCTCTTCACCCTCTACACCATTCTTCCCCCTATTCTCCCTTGCCTCATCCCTCTGCCTTGTCAAACGCCCCGCCTCCTCTACTTCCTCATCATCCCTCCCTTCTCTTCTGTACTATAATTTCTCCTTTTCTTCCAACAACAAAAAGAAAAAGAGAGACTCACCAAGTTCTATACCTCTTCGCATCATCGGCCACCTTCACCTCCTTACCAAAACCCTCCGCCACTTCATGCCCCTCCTTTCTGGAACCACAGCCCTGCCACCCTCCTCTGCTTTGGCGCTCGCCCTGCCCTCATCGTTTTGGTGACTTTAATTATTGATGTGAATATGAAGTTTAAGTGCATGGATGATGCTTACAAAGTGTTTGAAAAAAAATCATAATATAGTCATTGATTTGGAATTCAATGCTTGTGGATTTAACAAAAGTTGAACTCGTAAGCGAAGAAATGAATGTTTGGAGATTGCAATATGATGGAGGAGAGATGCGTGCAATGGACATTCCAAGCATTTTGAATGATTGTGGAAAGAATACTTAACGATTGTGGAGGTACTCTCAATTGACCATCTCAAATCATTTCATGATGTTCGGAACAATGAGATCCATGAAATGATTTGAGGGATCATCAAAGTGTTGATTAAGACAACACTTCTCTGTGTGCGGCGTTTTTTAAAACACGCGCAAGGTGTTTGATGAAATGTTTGTGAGAAATTATCATTTTTCTTGTAATTAACAAAGCTGCATCAACTTATAACGTATGATATGTCACATTTTGTAAAAACAACTTAATTATTTGAGCTCTTTTAATAAAATTATAGGTGTTATACAATTAGATAATATTGTATTTTGTTTGTGAATGAGCTTGTATCAGATGTTACGGTGAATCATCTTGTTTATCATGTTGTATATGTTAGTGCATATTTTGCGAAGTGCAAGTATAACAAGAAAAACGTGAAAGTATGGCAATAAAAAACATAAGTATAGCAAAGGCCTGTAAATATAGCAACAAAAAGCATTAAGTATAGCAATAAAAACCTATAAATATAACAATAAAAAAATATTTGTATAGCAACTTAAACCTACAAGTATAACAACAAAAGAGCATAAGTATAACATCAAAAATTTATTAGTATACCAGCAAAAGACACAAGTATAGCAGCAAAAACTCTAAGTATGTCAATAAAAAGCATAAGTATAGCAACAAAAGACATAAGTATAGCAACAAAAAGCGCATGTATACAGCAAAACAGAGAGATGAGGGTTACTTTGCTCCTAACAAAGACAGAGAGAGGAGAAATTAATGGAGGA